ACAGTAACAAACTTTCAAAAGCGTTGGCAGGAAGAATAACAATGATCTCACTGGACCTGACTATGCAATTTAACCAAATATTGCCAGAAATAAAATAAAACTTGTAAAATACAATTCTGCAAATTGCATACAAATTAGCATGTGAGACAATAAAAATGAATACTGACTGTTAAAAACGTTACTATGACTGAACATAGTTAGTTTGTATTTTCAAACATGGTGTAAGTGCAAAGACTCAAAAAACATACTATATTATTTAAAGCAGTTTGAGGCAAAACAGTGTGTTAGCAGCTGCATACAGATGCTACCAGCACAAGTCTACTAAACGGTAACTTCTTGAAGAACAGTATGGCAACCTTTACATTATTGCCCAGGCATACAACAGAGAAGCAAAAAGATGGGAGTAATGAGGATACGGCAGCACAGAAGAAGTGTTTGATCTTTCTAATTTAGTGTGACAATGCACACAGGCACACCTAAAAATAATAGTAAGTAAGCTTCCATTTAAAATGAGCGAACCACGGAGATGAATTTCTCACGATAAATTTCAGAGCAGGACTGTTCGATTTCAAGATATGGTGGTTTGGTCTATGGAGACAAGACACAAGACATAATGTCCAAAGTTATGTGCTATGGGAGGCTCAATCAGCTTGTAATAGATTGTACACATTTCGTGATGAAATGATTTCGTGTGCTGCATGCAAACTGAAACACCATACTGTACAAGTTATAGTGAAAGAAGACATAATGACCTAAACCACTGTATATAGCGGTACTTTATTGGTTTCCTATTAGTGAACACCCGGGATACAACACTAATCGCAGAGAAAGACATACTAAAAAGAAATAGCAGGTAACTTCTAATTGCACAGCATGTGTGTATATAGAAACTGGTGTAGTCAACATTCATACCAACATACCAATAATATTTTAAAGCGGAGAGTCGTCACCTGCCCATGCGTCAGATGTTCATAGCGTGCCATTGTTTACAAACAAGCGTCTACCCATGAGCCTCTGCGTTTTTAGTGCGTGTTGTTATCGTCGCTTGGGACTCAATTCCCACGCGTGCGCAGGTGACGACCCTCCCTTTTTAATCATAGGAATGGTGGTCATTGGTGGTAGATGGGTTGAAGGCACAAGTTAGTGTTAGTAAAATGCAAACTCGAATGACAGTACAAATACAAATTCTCAAGTGTAGCTTGAGGATCAGCATGATGTCCCAGAACTTTCTTTTGAGGATAAGTTCTTGAAGATTGTGGATAAGGAAACAGTGCCTAATAATAGCCATTTCCGGTTATTTGATCCTAGACTAAATAAGGCGAAGTGTAGTAGAGTTTGACTATACCACAGTATACTGAATTACTCCGGGGTAACTGCTGACAAGATTTGCTGGAGAATGTAAATAGATTATTCTCTCAAATTACCATGCCCAAAAATTAACAGACCTTACAAAGATATCTGGGGCGGCTTGGAACTAAACTAAAAAATCCCCTTTTGGCGTTACTTCTTCACCCACCTATGCCAACATAATTGCTATCAGGAAAAAGTGCCACAAGCAGTAAATCAACTGATATTATTAACAAATACAGAACCCACTGCCATTATAGATTCATAGATTTTTAATGGAAACCATTCCTGAAAAAAACGGTTGGAACAAAGCATTAAGACTTGGACCCTGATATGCTGATATACAGATCATGCTCCAGACCTGCAATGGAAAATAGCGGAAGTGTGAAAGATTAATTTGACTGTCATTAAACCTTCACGTCAGAGGTACCAAGTTCGGGGAATTCTCCACCTTTCTATCGAACAAAGACACACAGGGAATCGAATCGTGTCACATTTGGTCTCAGCCGCGTTGTTACTCTCCCACGGCCGCCTCAAGACTGCGCCTCGCCGAGAGCTTGCCACAACTAACTGAGATCAGTTTTATTAATATTCCAACTGTTAGCCAATTATTACAGAGAAGTTTAAGAGCTCGGGGAGTGGCCTCCACACATATAGGCAATCACGCAAAGTATTCAACACGCCATAACATCTGATTAATTGCCCCCGATGTCGGGACATAACTCTCATACTTATCGATGCCACGAGGGCTAAAACAACACTTCATAGTTGACAATCACTAATTCCTTAACATACGAATGAACCTGATCATGACAAGTTACGAACAGTTGGGGATTATCCAGGGGTCACCAGTGAATGTCGCTATAACTACAAAAAACGGCGAACGAGAACTATCAAGAAACCATTAAACAGAAAAATAATATTAGGCACGACGCGTTGTGTATATGCACAAGCAATGATATATGGCCAGGGCATCCTTGTAATACTCAATTGCATCCTGAATAACCTTATTTATATAAAGGATGTTTGTGTGACTCTTTATTGTATCAATATATTTTGTTTTTAATTTCTTCTTTTTGTGTTGTAATTATTGGTTATTTGTATATTTCGCGGCTTGACGACTTTAAGATCTAAATGCTAGAAATTGTATACTGATTTCGGGATGGTGTCTCGTCAGTCGTATTCCAACTGGCAAATGACAGAACTGAAATAAACAATGCTATGCTACAGCATTATACTAATAATAATTATGCCCTAAATATATCATCTGAATATTGAAAGTATACTTGTCCACGATGGAGACGACCATTCGAATTTCGAAAATTACGTTTACAAATAGTTGAATATAACGATAAAATAGCCAATATCATTGCCAACTATCACGCATTATATCACACATTTTATAAACACAGCACAAATACGACGGCCGCGACGCCTGGACCGCGTTCACTATAGGTGAGGGAGTGGTTGAGACACAAACTGATTTTTTTATTCGACAATTTTTAAATAGAAATGCAAACATACACTCAGTGCACGTGATGGTCGTTTCGCTTCGCTCATCTGTTACCAGTAGTATTCTAATATTGACCAGATAAAAGTGTATGGTTAGTTTTAACTTATTTTATTGATGTGAAAACGGGTTATTTCATTCCCAATTGACTAATTATAAATTTTTTAAGCTCATAATCATTGTGTATTATTGGTAACCATAGAAACATTAATGATAACAGAGTTACACTGAAATAGAATGATAATGCAATATTCATTTTGATCATCAAATAATCAAACTGACTCAAATAGTCGTCATCAAGTGTTGCCTCTCTTGCATTGAGCTACTAGTAACTATTGATGTTTCTTTCTAAAAAAATAAATCTACAAAAATTATATCTGAAAATCATATAGTAATTGTTGTAAAAGACAAAATAGTTCAATTCTTACATCGCATATTTCACTAGTAGAATGCGGGACTCGTATCTTCGCTGTGAGGTCAAATTGACTTTGCTAATAATGTTGATTTTATAATAAATCAGGTAATTAATTTCACCCGAACTAATAACTTTTGGTGTCCCATATACCCATTTTGCAGCTTTTAAAGCCTAATATAAGGATCGTAATTTGTGAGTGCCTATTCAAGATATCGAAGAGCGTTTTGCTTCATTTGCATAAAATATTGACCATCATGAACATCATTTACCGTTAGTTTACCCTATTTCGATTATTAGAAGCATAGTTATTTTTGAAACCATGAAGCGATATAACGAACATGTTTGTAGTATGTAGACATTGACACTCATTGTTTTTTTGCTTACTTATCTCATCTTTGTCAAATAAAAAAAATGTTTTGCTGACCTCATGGGTAGTTCTTTTTCTTGAAACCAAAAGATTATCAGTTGCAAAATATGATGTACGTTAACATTCTCACTACTTACCTCAGCTTAGTGTGAAAACGCAGAAAGGGGGAACCGGGATGAGCCGTCCAGAATGTCACACAATCAACACGATCTGCTATTTCAGTAATCCGGTTATTGGCCGCTGCTTATCACATGATCATTGCGCCTTACAGTGGATTGGCTGGCTCTCGTTAGTCTTATATTATGCCCTAGAGTATTTTAATGTGTTGATTGGAACTTGTGAATTGTTTAAAGTTATTTAATATTAACATTTGAATATGACTATTATTGAATTTAATTAGACAAATTTTGAAACGATTTTATCAGATCTGCTTGTATTATATTGGCAAACTTTATAGAAAGAAACACATTTTTCATAATATTGTCATTATTTGACTGCAGTCTTCCTATTAAATATTCATTTCTTAAATACTAGTTAACATGTAATGCCATATAAATTTATACTGTGAGGTTGGTTGGTTTTTGTAGTAATTGAAAAACAAGTCTAAAGAGTGTACATCTGCCTCTAAGAAAATAAGAATGTTTACAAAGTAATACGAATAGACCGGATAACAACTCTTGTAGAGTAGGTGATGTCCGATCTCGATGGAACGTTTTGAAGTCATTTATCCTTAGGACGTTGCGGTCGTCGGAAGCAGCTTATCTTTTATCTGTTTCACTGATGAATGAGCAATCATTTTCTCGACAATACTGTTCCAAAATGAATCCCTTGCTTGCGGAGGAAACATTTGAGGTGATGGCTTTAAGTGTGTATCATGCTGTCGCCTCGGGGAGGGGGAGGGGGAAGCGGTATTCTAATAGTGGAAGTATACGGATATGCGCCCCTATTTTGACCCATGTTTTCACGGTCAAGCCACAAATTTTAAGATTTTCGGCAATTTTAGCAAAATGGACCCCGTTTTCAATAGGCTGCGGAACACTTCTATCCGAAATCAAAAGTGAGTACCCCCACTCCCTGTTACTAGACAGTGAGCAATTAAGGAAGTCTGTCGTAATTAAGAAAGTCTGATATAAGTGAGAAAGGCTATTGTAATTAATGCGCACTTGTATTCGTATTAGTCACAACACACATAAATACGCTGGTTTCCGTCACAGTATTTATTGCCTGCACCTGCAAAGAGCACATAAAAACAGTAAAGTAAAAGAAGAACCATGACAGTCGTTTCCACGTAAAAAAGAATTAACCAACGGTGGTGGCGCTTTTTCGAGAAAGCGCCAGCAGCGTCGGGCTTGTGCCAGTGTGTTACAGAAAACAAAAATGGCAGTGAACGCTAGCCAAGAGGACTTATTGAAATATTTGCAGAATCAGATGACATTTGACGATTTTAATCAACGGATCGACGACTCGGAGCAGGTGAGTCTCAGCCTGTATTGCGATTGCATGTTTTTTCCGTAAGTGGGTTTGACTTGATTTACTTTGGCATGTTGAACATGGAACAGTATGCGGATGACTAGCTGACAATAGTATTTCGGAGTCCGCAGACGGTCTACAAAACTGCCTGAACAAACTTGTGGGAAGTGGTATATTTGGACGTAATATTCTTTGTCCAGCAGTCAGACACGACACATACTTATCAATGAATAACAAGTTGTTACTATGGGAACATAGTATAGAAGAGCCCTGAATCAAATGCTTATATATCCTCGTGGGGATTCTGAATCTGAGCGGGGAAACTTTGATATAAATATACAAAACTGGGCAGGCCTCCAGAAGACGTACCTACATTTTATGCATTTTTTTTAATGCTATCCGTACTGGATCTCTCACATGGCCTACATTGTACATATCCATTGAACCATATGGATAGTCAGGCAAATGATTGATTTGTTTTCATATTTAGCTTTATTGCAAATTAGTGTACATCTTGCCAATTGGATGTTTGCCATTTGCGTTGCTCATATCTGACCCGACCCTAACCCTAATGCCAAGACACGTTCCTGTTAATAATTGCTCAATAATGATACTCTGTTGAGCACTGTCTGCGGGTAAGTTGCATTGATGACAACTGAATAAACAAGTCACGTTTAAGTAATTTCCACTATTAACAAGTGGTTAGATTGTGACAATAAATGTGTGGACAAATATTTGAGATTAATTTTGGTGTAGACAACTCTTGTTTAATTATTTTGCACCATTACAAGTTATTAAATTGAGAGAATAAATGTCTCAACAAATATTTAATACTTAGTTTGGTGTAAACAACTTGCGCTTGATTAATTCCCACAATTACA